CGCAGTCGCATTGAAGAGACTATCAGTTGCAGGGCTGTTGAATATGTGTGCGAAATGAGTACTGCGTGAGTGAAAGCAGTGTTGGACGCGGAGACAGGAGCGCGTCTGGACCCTTAACGCCGACTGCCGATGTTGGTCAAACAAACAAACATCGACACGACAACATAGCATTGGCATAGCGTATCACGATTATTTACCTACGAGTATTGCTTCTATATGCATTAGACGACATATTTACTGTGATGTCAACCGACGACACGCTGCCATGGACGACCTCACGATGCAACCGCCTGCTGCGCCCACTCTCGTCCAAACTCGCGAAGCTGCGCAAAGAGCTTGAGCGACCACGTACCGTCAGCGCCGAGTCGCGCAATCCCTCCTCTGCTTTTGCGATCAAAGGCTCTCCACAGAAGACGACCAACTTCACCCGCCCCGCGAACAAGCCCCGAGGCTTCGAGAAGGCTAGAGATCCAGACTGGCGGCCAGGCGCGAAGACAGGGCCGGGCAAGAAGACAACATATGGTGGCCGTGGTCGAGGAAGAGCGCCGGCGTTGCAGAGAAATGGTTCTGGAACGGGCAGAGACAATGTCTCTCGGCCGGGCGAGATCGCCTTCACGCCTCTAATATCGAGGATGGGCGGACAGTTGCACAGCAGCCCACAGATACCGATTTCGCCGCTGCGCAAATATTCCAAGATCAAGGGCCCCCTTCTGGCTCCAATGAATCCGCCTGACACACATGTACCTGGCGAGATCCGCAAGCTCACCCAGGGGCTATCCGAAGCCTACGCGAACATCCTACAATCGACTACAACGGGCGGTGAAGCCAGATGGAAGGGCACGAGGTCGCTCATGGGTGCTTGCTTGCGAAGGCTCCCGGCCTACATCGAACTCGAAGAGCATTTCGCCAAACTGGACAAGCTGGAAGAAGACGGGGAGGAGGAGAGGGACATTGCGAATGAGATCTACGAACATCTCGAGACAGTGTTCGAGCAAGAACATGGCCAGGGTTGGCGGCCTTTTAAATGCGTTGTCAGAGCGCATGCTACGACATTGGTGTGCGATGCTGTAACAGATGAGGTACTTGGTTTGGACAACGTGCTGGTTCTCGTTACACATTGTTTGAACTCTTCCGCTTGGGACGAAGCTGAGAGGTTGCTACTAGCATATGCGCCGCTCCTGGAGTCTGTGTCTATACCCATCAACACACGAGCGGACCTGTTCGACCCTCAAAAGTCGCCCTACTTGTATTCGGTGAAGAGCTTTGTCCATCACACAGGACGTTATCGCTTGCTCTACGATCTGCTGGAACATATGGTCGCGTTCGAGCTTCTGCCTCTTGAGTGGCTTGCGACCGACTCCATGCGTCCGGTTTGGGACCGACTCGTTCGAACGATCACGGAGAACGACCGTCGGACGCTTACAAGTGCTTCCCGGTTTTTCGAAACGGTCACCCTTGCAAGTATGGGATTGCCAGATGCACGACTGTTAGAAGATGAAGTTACTGGCTCTGTGTCGAGACGATTTGTTCCGTCGTCTCGAGAGGAGCTTCGACGCGCACTGGACACTACCTTCTCGAGTCTACTCACAGTCTTGTGCAGCATTGCTTTGGTCAACAACAATCGCGACGATTCTGCAGGGAAAGAGATCGTGCGGAGAGTCGCATCGGCGTTAGATACGGTTGTCATCGCTTTGTCTGCCCGTGAAGACATCAGGGATGAGCTGAAGCTTCTTGGACCAGAGTCGGATGATGTTCAGCTCATGGCTCAGCGCGCTATCTGGGTCATCTTTGCATCGTACCTGGTGCATCTTGGAGGCCCTGAGAACCCGGGGAAAACATCACTTGATTCCTCCACCTCCATTGGACTCGTCAATTGGGTAACTAGCCAATATTCATCAAATATTGCCAACCTCGCATCGATATTTGCAACTATCCCATCATTAGTCTCGTCAACTGCGCGTGGGACAGGGCGGATTTGGAGAGACGACGGTTTTGATCAACTACAGCGACTCGTCACAGCGCTGACATCGAGCTCTGGTTGTAGACTACCCCACAAGCTATGGACACTGAAGCGGCTCGCACTAGAATCAGCCAGGGACTTTGCTCATGGCACTGGCGATGCTGAACACATGGCTTATGTGCGCAACATCGAGAAGATGATGCACACACAAGGCCGACTAGTCATCATGCAATCACCACAGAAGAATGAGTCGCCTACCGTTGGTGGCGGCTTCAGATGGGAGGAGGGCATTGGTGAATGGGTCACTTGCACACCATTTGCAAAGCAGAATGTCAAGCGCCAGACAAAAGAGCCAGTTCGAGCATTGGAACTCTTGCCAACCCCAGCACAGTCTGAAGACGAGAAGACAGAAGCATCTGATATTGAGGATGGACTTCCAAATGGCATACCAGACACACCTGTGTGGGAAGTCACCGCTCTCGACTATGACGACAATCAAATACCACAATCGTCGCCCATCAAGAAGAGACCGCGGGTTACCACATCTTCACTCGGAAAACGGGCTCGCGCACCATCGCCAAAGGTCATCATATCCATGAAGCGAATGCATATAACACCTCCAGGTACTCCACCATTCAGGTACTACTCTGAGCTTCCTGAAGAAAAGCACGTCGGTCCCAGGCGATCTCGGCGTCCGAAACAGGAGTCCCATGCATCTGCTGCTCGACTGCGCACCCAACGTTCCAGAACATCACTTGAAAGCGGACTGCGCAATCTCAGAAGACCCGTCTATGCGGAGCCAGCGCTTGAGGTCAGCGACAGTGACACAGAAGCGTCCAGTGCCTCGCAGGATGATTCGGAGGATTCGTCAGTGTCGATGAAGAGTGTGCGCACCAAGACTGTCCAAACAAACACTCGCTCATCGGAGCGCACTCGCACACGTCATTCGCTTCCGACCGTTCTTGCCGTTCACGACGACGACGACGACGACACATCTGAACGCGACGAGCTCGGTAGGACACCCGCTCGACCTCGTCTCCCACTCCGTAAACGAACAAGCGTTCGCCAGTCATTACAACCACGCACGCAGTGGATGAAGTCACGCCAAAGCATAGTAGCAGACAGCGATGATGACAGTCAAGACGAGCTGAGTTTCTGTTAGGCACAGATTATGTACTCGTTGCCCAGCTCAGACGCATGTGTACGTTCAGACGGCGTTTCCCATGACTTTCTGCTTAGCCGGTGTTGAATTACCTTCAGTTTTTGTATCGATACCCCAGAACTTTTGTGTTAAGTTGTTTAAATAGTAGGAAATATATACATGACATTCTTGAGCTTTTCTTCCCTTTGGAATTTATGACAAGGTACATTTGAGATACCAGTATACAGAGTACTGCAAGGTATCTCGATGACCATACAGGCGAAATCTATGACCATGCCGCAGAGCTGCACTAAGTCCTTCTTCTAGACTCATGAACATGAAAGCGTGTTACGACATATACCAACGACTCAACAGAATACAGCACGATTGACTATGCATACTTCCTTGCTCTGCTTGTCGAACTCAAAGTATATCGCTGCTACTCTCCCGTACGAAGCTTCTTTACGAAACTTCAGCAACCTTTCCACATGGATATTTCTCTATATTGCGTACGTTGGCAGCAAACAGTGGGGCGCAGTTATGCACAAGAATGCACTCAAACTCTCTCATCTTGGCGGCATCCGTGTCTCGTGCGCGGAAAGACAGCGAGGGTCAGGAAATTGTAGGGTAGAAAAGATTGAAGGATGCAAAGGGCAGCAAGGCGTAAGCTTGTTGGTGTTTAGACGCGTGAGGCGGTTCGTGCGTTGGCTCATCCAGGTGAGTACGTCTGATCAGTGGGTAATGGAAGACACTAAGCAGGATGGCTTGCATGTCAAGCACTTGATCACAATGTACACGCACGCACACATGGCCCAAGTTGGTGTGCCTAAGCCATTTGTATTTATTTGCTATTCAATTCTGCATCCCATATTCCAGTCCATGTATTGTGTTGTTCAAATGATGGTGTGGGTCGATGGCGTTTCAGTCGCTTGTCGTATGTGGATATGAAATCGTTACGTGTTAAGGACAGGTGTCGAATCGAAGATTGCCGTGCCACATGTCGATGGTGCTGGTGGTAGAAAGGATGAGTTTCTATTGTCTGTTAGTACGGGATATACGGCAGATGCGCCACATGGGCTGGCTGAGGAGAGGGGAAAGTGACGTACAGTTGCAGTTGCAAGCTCCGGGAGCGCAGCCGCAGTCGGCGCAAGTGCATCCAGAGTTTCCGCAGCCGCCCTTCATGATGATGATTGTTTGGAGAGGTTGAAAGTGTTGGTTGTGTAGTTGAAAGAGTGGTGTCGTTCTGTTACTTTGATCGTTTGCTGGTGGGAGAGGAAGCAGGTGGAGGGGCAGAAGCGGGGCACGCCTTTTATGTCCCTGACTTCCAAGGTTCGGTGACATACCATTTCCGGAAGGGTAAGATGCGACACCGATAGCCGCACTTACCAATAGATCTTGCGCTACGGGTCGGGCTCTTTTCCAAGTTCGCTATTTAGGCGGGGCCGGCATGTTACTTGGCGAATCATGGGAAGAAAGTGCTGTTGGTAGTGACTGTGGTGGCGACTCGAGCGGTTGCATGAGGTATTGGCGCAGCACGTAACCTCATTTGAGCAAGTTACGTGGGGAGCTAGTGTGTGAGTTGCCGGGTGGGGCGTGACGGGCGCGTGTGCCACCGGATGCGAACACGCGGTAGACACCCAGGGATGTATGAATGTGACGTAGGAGGGTCATAAGCAGAGGAGTGTCGTTACGCTGTTGTCGCTTTCGAAATATAGCTCTTGTCCCGGCGCGGATGCTGAGTTTGGTATTTGGTTTACCGGAGATCTGCAATGATGGGATAGCCGTACTGTGAGGATCCAACGTAAGCAGCCAGTCTGATCATTGGTGACTGAAGCTCTTACGCAGCCTTGAGGTCTGCCCACACGACTGTAGCAGACAGACTGAGACCTTTGTCGATGTTCAGATCACCCCTCTTTTCCCCATATTGGCAAGATCGATCACCTCCTCTTCTACTTCGCTTTCAGCCGAATGCTTTCCTTTGCCGTTCTTGCCGTTCTTCGTTCCACCTTTGCTGTTAGAGTTCCCTTTCTTCCCGTCCTTGATGCTACCCTCATCATCCGTATCGTCTCCGAATAAGAAGCCTTTGCCCTTCATGCGCCTCTTCTCATCAGATGAGAAAGTGGAATGGGCGGCACCAGAGGCGAAGTTGGAAGACGCTGAATCTTCACCAAGCATCCAAGAGAAATTTGAGGATGTAAGATGTGGTCGCGACGGTGGGGAGAGGGTTGAGGCAAGCTTTGACGGAGGTGACAATGTACGCGCGGGTGGTGAGGTTGGACGGGAAACAATAGGAGAAGGGTTTTTAGAAGCTGTTGTCGACGGGGTGTTCGACTGAGATGTCGTACTCAAAGAGATGGGTGGTACGACCGGTGCCTGTTTCGGCGATACCGGGGATTGAGGAGGCGGAGAAGATAAGCTGATCGCAGCCTGTGCAGTAGATGCCTGTTCCGTTGCTTCGTCGATGGGAAGCGGTAGAGAAGAGTCTTCAAGATAGACTTGCACGAATTGCACTTTCGCGATGGCAAGGCTGAGTGCCTCCATAGCTTCTTTACTTTTCTCGTCACCTTTCGCCTTTTGTGCTTCGTCGCGCTCTCTGTGATACTCCCACAGGTCACCGACGGCAACTTCCAACATTTTAGCGAGACTTTTATTCCTGCGATCCAGCTCTTCCATCTTCTTGAATGTGTTCACTGAGTGTACCCTTTCCAGACTTGGCCGTCCATTGGCACTAGAGGTGCCTAGTTGACCAGGCTTCCGGAACTCCCTCCCTCCAGAACGCGGTGTCGATTGGCCAGAGGTTGCTCCAGACTGATAAGCCTCAACATTCTTCCTTACCTCACCTACTGCATCTCGCAGAGCCTTCCCCACACCCCACTGCGATCCGCGATCCAGTACATTCTTCGCCGCACCCTGTATCAAGGCCTCGAAACCAGCGCCCTGCTGAGTCACAAAGCTTCTTGGCGATCCGATGCTGTGTCGTGTTCGACTCGAGACGAATGACGGAGATGGTGATGGTTCGCGGACAGGTGGTATTGATACAGGCTCAGTAGTAGGCGCCTGCTTACCATATCGTGTGATAATCTCTGCCCCGCCGAGTGGAGTAAGGTGATCACGGAGATATAGCGCGTCTTTGATGAATGTGTATGGCGGTGCAGCGGGTTCAGGGTATCGCAGGAGAAGTGCAAAGGCTTCATTTGTATCAGCTGCCATCAACTCCCACCGTATGCGCAGCAACATGGCTAATGAGATCATATCGACAAGCTCTAGCGTGGAGTCTATGGCGAACAGGGCGTCCCACACGTCGAAGACGGCGTCGAGTGAGAACTCTCGTCCGAAGAGAAGGCGTATCCAGCGTCTAGTGCACGTTAGGGAAGGCTGGCTCAAGTACGCACAGTGACTTACAGGAGGAAAATCTGGGGCACAATCTCAAGCTTGACGAGATGAGTATAGAGTTCTGGGTCCACCTTTGGGAGACTGCCCTCAAAGATCCTGGAACTTCGCGCAAGCATTGGTGTGTCTTTGGTTATGGATCCAGTCTCGGCCGGCGCGTAGAAAGACTTGGCTGTCTGCATGATGATGGAGAAAAGCATATGTGTGTCGTGCTCAATGTACCCGGAGTCGAGCATCTCGGCCAGAGTGTGGTCCATTGCGCCAGTCTGCTGGCCGGCCACGTCTATGGCATCTCTTTCCACAACCCACAGCAGCGGCGCAAGTATCTCGTGCATGCCTTGGCGATATCCTATGTCAGGATGCATCTTGCACCACACGAACAGTATGTCCAACATCATCGTCTGCGTCGCGGGCTGGCGGAAGTATACATTGTCGGGCATACATCGTTCGATATCCTGGAATATCTCGGCGCGAAGTTCTTCGTCGGCGCGGAGGGCTACCCATGGTGACTTTTAACGCTTAGTACTTGTCAATAAGCGGCAGGTATCGATGGCGGCGGCCGCCGTGGGTGCACACACCTCTGAGAGCTCGCTCAATGGGTCTACGGAAGACTCGAATTCGTCGGGGTTATGTATGGCGCGGAGGTAGTGCGATCGCAGAGACTCGTATGTCTTGCGCGCATGGCTGAGATGGGTAGGCCATGACGAACGGTCAAGCGTCTTGAAGACGAGAAAGATCTAGCCTTACTATGAGCGCTGGAGGGGAAGAGGGGTAGGTCGGACCGCACCTTCCAGCAGACGGAGCGGAGTCCTGCGGTGATCTGGGGTTCCTTGTGCGCCGATACGTGGATCTTGAGGTCAGTCAGGGAGTGGAAGTCGTCGAGCTGCCGCCAGTGCTTTCTATGCGATGTCAGAATTGGGACCATGGGCAAGGGCAGGCATGACGCACTCAGCTTCAGATACGGAGCGCATGGTGAAATATTACAAAGAGGGGTGTGAGTACTGTGTCGGCAACCCAAGCACCCTGTTGGTAGCTCGGCGCCGTGATGCAATAGCGCGCGGCGGGGCAACTCGAGCCGACGACGTCACGTGGCACATGAGACACCATTTCCAACATCGGTTGCAATCATGGGAAACTCGGATGGCATGTCGCAAGCGCGTCAGCTAGGGTGCTGCTTGCAAACGTGTTGCTAGGCCACGTCTAAGGTCAGTGTCAGGGTCTGCTGCGAGTTTGGTCGGTTGCCAGAGGAAACGAGAATAGATCACGACGTCACAGTAAAATCATGATACGGATACGATAACGGTACAGTGTAGCATCGGACGATAGCGTCTAACACTTTCAATAGCTTCGTTCGTGGTAAGTTTCTAGATTTCCTAAATGCATCGCACGCTACGTTCGCTAAGAACGGGATCGTATGTGGATAAGAGAACGATTTAGTTTACGATGTAGCATCTTCGGCTGATTGCCAATGGCGGCGCGGGAAGCCGCATACGCCGTGTGGCGTAGACTACTCGTACGAAGGATGGAACAGGAACGAGAAGGAGCTCTGGCCTATTGAACCAAACTGGGCGCGTTGTTCTCAGCTGGATATCGGCATCGACGGAGTTGCTTGGCAGCAACCAAGCGGACTCGCGATGATCGACAATGTTTTGGCTCGGCACGGCTCACACTTTCTTTGCTGGGGGCACGGCGTTCCGCTGGCCCTCAATGACGAGCCTGTCCATGAGACCTGGGGCTAGAATATCCTGGCGGAAGCGCTCCTGCTGCAGCAATTCCAGTGCACGCAGCGTGGGGCCGGGGTGACTGCGCCGACGGGGTCAGTAAGCAGGCGGTGTGAGGGGCGGCGAACATACTGCAAGAATCTGGTGTACTTTGGGTCTTTGAAGTACTGCAGGTAGCCGAGGTATGCGACAAATTCGGGCTTGTCGAGCGTCTTTTGCTGGGCCAGGTAGTTGAGATAGACGGGATTGGCAAGGCACTGGACAAACTAGGCGCGTGTTAATGAAGGTCAAACAGGGGCTAATGACGACGCAGTATAGGGGAATTGCGGACCTCGAGCTCGAGCTCAAAGCGCGAGTAGCCTCCCACGCCCGGGACAGGTTGCGCCGTCTCGTGAGCCATGGCTGGAGTCGCAGACGTTTGACAGCTGACGGTGCAGAGTCGCGATGGGAGCGGCGCTTGCAGGTCACGCTGAGGCTGAAGAAAAGCAGTTCAGGGTCTTCCCCGCAATTGCCAGGTTGTGTAGAGTCGGCAGCTAATCCAGTTGGGTATATGAGGCGGGCTAAGGATCACGCACTTGCACAAACAGGTGCAAGGACGGCAGGGTTGATGAGCTTGTCGTCGACGGTGGAGTGTAGCTGATGGTGATGGCAACAGTGGGTGATGGCCAGGGAGAGGTGGTGTTTTGGGATTCGTTGAGGCGGCCTCTACCAGACGTGTATCATGCTCTGCGTGCGCACTCTGCAGGCGGCCGACACAAACAGAGGGCGTCCAGCACAGCCAAAAGCGATGGCAACGATGCACATCGAGGTCCAGTATCCCCTGCGCTGCGGTGCACGTGCAGCTCGGGCCTTGACCCCACAGCGTAGCGGATTGGCACCCTGAGTTGCCGTCTAGACAGTCTTTTCCGTCTGGGAAGCTCGTGATCGGGCGCTCGAATCACAGACAGACGGCGCCACGGAACCACGCACCCACGGTTTTGCGGTTGCGGTAAACACGAGGCCCAGCCCAGCGCCCTCTAAAAGCCTAGCTAGGCCGCGCTTGCTCTCGACGGCCTACTACTCCCTCTGCTCCCGCCTCCTGCCTCCTGTGCATTAATCACTGCCATTGCCGTTGCCATCACCTGCTTTTGCTTTACTCTCACCTCTCACCACCCACCCACGCCCAGCCCCCGCGCATTGCTGTCCTGTATTCCATAGGCGTTGCATAGACTACTAACGGGCCTCAAACACCAGCCCATCAAACACGCGCCCCGCCCGCCTGTCGCCTGCCCGCCAACGGGGCCCGTCTATCCTCAGCGCGAAACACAGCAGCATCGGTACCGCCAGTCTTAGCAAAAACCGCGCCCCTATTGCTGCTTCTGCCGTAGGCGAGGCGCGCAGGAACAGGATTGCCCGCCGTGCGTCACCAGCCAGCTGTTGCACAAAGCACGCCTGTCGTCTCCCGCGGCGCCAGTGTTTGATTGGGCCGCCCAGCAGGGTTGTGAGCAGCAGACGGCATCATGTTTGCAGAGCCGTCAATGCCAGGTAAGGCTGCTCCTGAATTTGCCTGTTTCACCGAGACTTGGGCTGTGACGAAATAGGACGCGCCGCTGATCATATTGCTTATCTACAGAAAGGCGACCCTCGCCAGGCCTGCAGCTCAACCTCTCCTCCAACAACCCCTTCCGCCGCGCTGCCTCTCCCGGCTTCCCCTCGCCCGCCAGTGCCAACCGCTCGAGCTCGGGCAGCAGACCAATGTCGCGCAATCCCTTTATATCTACCTTCGAGGCCGAGTTTAACAAGGAGGCATCCAGAGACCTCGTTGACATGTCGGCCACCATGAAGGACTCTCCCAAGAAATCAAACTTTGGCTTTGCCGCCGAAGAGCTCTTTGTACGTTCTCCCCCCTTGCAGGCCAATCGCCCGTGCCGTGACGGCTGCCAGCGCCGTCACGTCGTGCAAGCCGCGCACGCTGCACGCCGTAGTAAAATGCGGTGCAGTCGCCAGCTACACCACCGCCATTGAGCCATCAACATGGATCGCTTCAGGCGCTTTGTGATGCAGTTTGCTGACTATCCCGCCCTCACCCAGGCCAACCTCACCATTGACGACACCGATAAGAAGCGAGCTCCCCCGCCACGACCTGCCCCTGCCCGCAGCGGTACCGATCCCCGTGCAGGCCACCGTCCTTCGCGTTCCGAAGAAGAGAGACAGCGCATGCGGGAAGCTTCTCGCGGAGGCTCTCGACCACGTGGACCTCCCAGCTCGTCGCGTCCTCCCCAGCTCAACAGCCCCGAACGCCGCGAGAACCGCCGCCCCCGACGCAACTCCGAATCCTCCATCATCGACCGAGGCTCGCTCGACCCGCGTGAAGAGCGCAGGCGCAGGGAGCGCCGCAAGGAGCGCGAAGAGCGTGCTCGAGACGGCAAGGACAGCAAGTCTGGCGGCAAGAAAGTCCGCAGGCCGCAAGGTCTTGATCTCATCGACAAACTCGACGTGACTGGCATTTACGGACCTAGCATGATCCACCACGATGGACCGTACGACGCTGTGCAGCCCCACCGCAACCGTAAGAAGGACCAGCGCGCACCCATGCATGCCTTCCCCGTCGGTTCAGCCAACAACACTCTGGGTGGTTCTGGACCGTTGAACACGAAGATCGATCTGGACAGGATCCATGGCAGGGGTGCCGAGGGCTTCACCGACTTTGCTGGTGCCGAGACCGAGTGGAAGAAGCCAGCCCCATTGGCCGCAGAGTTCAGCGCAAAAGGCCGAGAAGACATTGTACACGGCGAGCAGACCCATGGTCTTGGAACATCCACCTTCCTCGAGGGCGCCCCGGCTTCCCGCAAAGCAATCCAAGAAGAGTCCGATGCTCAGAGGCAGAAGCAACTAGCTGATGGCGGTCTCGGTCGCAAGAAGTCCATTGCCCAGCGATTCCGCGGTATCTCTCAGCCCCGTCGTTACGGTGACGGCCCACGCATCACTTCGCCCGATGCACGTTACGGAGCTGCCACCAGCCCAAGCGGTCCCTACAGCGCCGGAGCCATCTCGCAGACCAAGGCCACAGAGCAGAACCCATTCTTTAGCGACGACTACGACAAGGCCTACGACGCCAAGGGCGCAGCCATCAAGACTAACGAGGGCGGACCTTCACCACCTCGGGGCGCTGCGCTGCAACGATCCATCACCACCGATAGCGTAGGATCTCCCACAGGCGAGGCTAAGCCCAGCGGTGGGTTCCTCAACCGCGTCAAGTCCCTCAAGGGCGGACGTCGACGTCCCGCTTGAGAACTCACAGGCATGGTCGAAATGATTCGACCACTTCACCCATCTTCCCTCTGAGCGGCTCAAGTCCATCTCGAAGGACATAAAAGACACGATGTACATCGCGCCACGGCGACGACTGCAGCCAGCTTATTTCTCCTATCGTCACACACCTCCCTTCGGGACATACACTTTCCTTCCGTCTGGCGCTGGAGTCGTTGGGGCTTGAAAGCACGAGGTCTGGATACCACTCATGTGTAACAGAACTCAGGCACGCTTCAACAAGATAAAGAAAGGATGCCCTCCTTCAATCACCAGTTTCAATTTTTCCGATCGAGTCACTTTTTTTCTTTCAATGCGCAGAAACTGGGCTACTTTGTATAGCTCTTACAACACATCAAGTTTGCGATAGTTTGGGGATGCGAGGCGTAGAATCTGTAGCTAGGAATCAAAATTTGCAAACATTAAGATACCACATTGGAATTACCAGAGATATGATGCCGTTTATTTGCCTCCGTTGATCGCCATCTAGACCCGCTCGATGTTCAGGGGCATCCGACTGTTCCTGGCACTCGCTAGGATCGTCCTTGACGCGTTCCTCTCGCCCAAGCAACCCCCACCCGAGCTTACTGCCCAATCCGTGAGGAGCGGACCTAGACGCCGCAGCTGCCCTTGCCTCCTGGCACATGACCTGAGGAATTATCGCCGACATCAATGCTCTCAGCCGCACGCCACGACGCCAGCACTAAGATCGGCGGCGCGTCGCGGAAGTTTGGATCGCAAGCCACCACCAACCGTATTTCTCCAGTAAGATCTTCGGTGCCACGTTTCGGCGAGATATTTGCCTAGTGGAGGCTAGGCGATTGGGTGGTGCGTTGCTGGGGATGAGGTTTAGCTGCAACACGGGTCTGCGGGCTGATAGGCGTTGATTGATGCCTCAGGTTTGGGTTCAGCTTGAAGTGCATACAGAGGCTCTGGATTTTGTAGAGCTAGTACATGACGTGGATGCATCATTAGTAGGAGTATGTGAAGGATGGAAGTGCGGGTGTTGCTTTACTGCGTCCACGACCTGGCGCATCGAGACAGCGATGCGTCTAGTATTCAGCAATGTCGAAGAGATTGCTCTGTGCACGTGATTCTGGTAGCCACATCGTTCTCGTTGTCCGTCGATGTTTGCCCTGAATGAACAGTAGATTTGTACGTTTTCAACAAAGGTTGCACCTTCCTCCATTCAATCTCGCGCTAGCGCTTCTCTTTCCGAATGCAGTTCCGACAAGCCTGTACCATTACACTCATAGTACCGTGCCTCACCATCATACACCAAATGGCGATATGGCTGCCGCTCGACTAAGTCTCGATGAGTTAAGCATATCGGCAAGACCCGCAGAACCATTGCTCGCATCCCAGTTGATTGGCGACCAAGACCTTGATGAGCTGCTGGAGAGCGTATGCAACGTCGATCTTCAGCACAAAGATGGTGTTGCAAGAAACTTACTGCAAACTGGAGTCAAAAGCTTGGACGATGCTTTCGGTGGTGGGATAAAGAGCAGCAGAGTTGTGGGAGTCAGTGGAGAAGCTGGGGCGGGTGGGAGTGAGGTGAGTATCCCAATTGTGGATGTCAAACAACGATATATTGCGAAGAAGTCCAAAGATCAACGGGCTATAGGTTAACAATTTCAGGTCTGCTCTACGCTGCTTGCGATCTCTCTTCTTCAATATGAGAACTCAACGGCTGCCGTTGTCGATACTACAGGCAACTTTGATGTGCTACAACTTTACACTATGATTGTCGCTCAACTGTCACGACGACCAAATGTCCAAACGTCCTTACGTTCCTCACTAAATCACGGGCCTGAAACTCCGACCGAGGATCTGGCAGCAAAGGTACTTGACCGCGTCAAGATTATGCGTGTTTTCGATTTCGTGGGTGTAAGAGAGGCCATTGGTGAAATCCGGGATGGGATCGAAAAGAAGAAGGATGCTGAACGTGCTTCAAGTACTGAAGAGAAGAAAGCGACGTTACCCATTGAGGAGCCTGCGCAGGAGCCGCCCGTCAAGAAGGTGCCAGTGAAGCGAACTTATGTTGCGGATAGCGAAGACGAAGAAGACGACGAGGAGATGTTATTCGATTCAGACGTTACCGACACCACAGCCGCGCAGCCTGTACAGGACCCAGAGCCAACCCGGATCGAAGCATCAGAAGACATGGATGCAGAGACTGAACCGGGACCTATCAAGATCGTCCTGATCGATAACCTCGCTCAAGTCCTCAACCCTTTGTTGAAGAAAGACCATATTCAAGGTATCCACTATTACACCCCAGCCCCAACACTGACTGACCAGTCCCAGCAAACGCGTTAGCAGCCACCTTTCTCACAAATCTCTCAAACCTAACACAAGCCCACACACTCCACACACTCCTCGTGAACCCAGCCGTTCCTCCACGCGCTTCCTCGCCAAAACGCCCTGCACCACAAAATCAGCTAGGCCCTCTGCCTCCGCAACAGCGGCGAGAGCCCCCTCTTCCACCTTCCATCTTTACGAGTAACGATGTTATACCCAATCTGGTTCATTTACTAGGACGGTACATGGATATGGAGGTGTTAGTGAGTCGGCTACCAAGACGGAAGATGGATGCGAAAGTGTACTACAGTGATTCTGGAGGGAAAGGGATGAAGCGAGGTGTTGAGATGGTGAGCGTGCTGGAGATAGTGAGTGATCGCTGGGGAGGAAGGACTGGTGCGTGGGGTACTTTTCGTGAGAGCAAAGATGGTATCAAAGATATTTGAAGTGTTTCAATATCAAGATATGAATCTAGGATGCTGATGCAGAGGCTTCTAGGGAGAAGTGGTCGTCACCAGTGTTTCTTACCCATCCCTTAAGTGCTTTCCGTATGTCATCTTTGACTTCGATTCTCTCTTCCAGCCCTTCAGACTTTTTCAGGTCCGCATACGTCTTCATGCGAAGCGCCTCAGTCGCCACCACCGCTCCACCCAGTATCCCTGCTAAACGAAGAGCTTCCCTCCACAGTCCCTTCCGACATATCCTACTTGCTCCCCTAGGGTCTAGTTGTTTCCGACCTTGCAGCACACCGCCGATCAATGTCTCCTGCCAGCCTGGCGTCCACACAGCGGAGAGATTACTAGGAACCGCTTTTTCAGCTGTAGATAATGCGCGGCGCGACCACGTGAACTCGCGGGTTGTTGGAAGGATATTGAACGGTTGGAAACGATAGCCGCCTTTCCACTCTGTGGTATGCTTTGGGTCTAGACTCTTAAGTCGACCTGAGGAGGAAAAGGCCCGCCCGCATGCTTTAGGTACGTATTGGGAGTCTGGTAGAACCAAGGTCTCCAAGTAAGCATTCCGAGGATTGATCAAAAGGGATAATGTAGATGAGAGCAAGGAGGTAGCCTGTTTGACCGCCAATTTGTCTGTGCAAGATTTGCTCAGCGTAGGCGGGGCGTCAGGTCGCGAAGGCTTCGCGCGTACAATGCCTAGAAGAGAGAAGTTCGATCGACCTCGAAGAGCCAAAGTCTCTACTTCGTCAACTGCGTCAGATGCGGTAGACAGAGTTGGTGGTGCACTAGTCCAGGGCGTTGCATCGTCCTGCGCAGCCATGGTGAGTTCCATACTGGCATCTCCACATGGAGCTTCAGAGCAGTACATGTGGATGGACACATCTTCTCGGATAGTGAATGGCTGATGTATATTTTCGGAATGCTCGTCAGGTGACAGCCGTCGAAGAAACTCGGATGTTGGATAAGGCGGCGTCGAGATGAGAATGCATTCGTCTATAAGGTAGCGGTTGAAGGCTCGGATCGCTATGACTTCGGCGTGCCAGTCGTGGATGATGTTGCCGTGTGCGAGGGGTAATTTGTTGGAGGGGAGACATTTCATGCCAGTTCTAAGAGAGGTTCAGCTGATGTCATGAGTTATTCACAGGTCGCATCGTAGTATGTTCGAGCATGCTAAGTTCAGAGCAATCCAGGAGCGTCGCTTCCAGTGGGGCGTTTTGCCCCTGCTGTCTGAAGTGTATGCGTGGTGTCACGTCCGGTAAATTATTGGACTACACGATGCCCGTTGAAGAGACACGCCTCGGAGTCGGCTGATGGAAATGGCTCACCCTAACGATACGCATGATAGAGCGCCACCTTGACTAGGTCATGAGCATAAGCAACCATAGCTCCTTCCGGAAGCAAGTGAGCGATTACCTTTAGATAAGACGATTCCGGCAAGGGGTACCCATTCCCTTGCGCCATCGTGGCGGGGTCTCGGCTTCCGCTTTTCAGGTAGCTGAGCAAAGGCCCGGAGCACGCAGTCTGCGATGGCATCTGCATCTGCGTCTGCGGCCATGGCAGTGAAGCGAGGTGGTGGGTGAAGGAGCGAGGGCGGAGTTGGGGCTCGGGGCATTCGGGGAGCCAGGCACGTCAGGGTCCATTGTTACCTTCGCAGTCGCAGAGCATCGCTCCTGCTACTCAGTCACAAAGAACCCTGTCACACGCTCAGCGCGAGTGAGACCCAGACTCCTTCACCTCCCCGTATCGCCTTGTTCCTACTCTTCTCTTCTCAACATGCAAGCGTTTGGTGAGCAATGGCCGTGCGCCGCACCGTCGCATTCGCGACTCAGACACTCACAATCACAGTACCCAAGAACCGACGAGTAAGACTGAGGCAGTACACCAAAGTTACACGGGCTGACATTTGCGCAGCCAAAATTTGATCTACACCTACGAGTGAGCTATCCATACACAGACATGCGACCACACTCTGACGACAGCAGATAATCGATCTCAACAATGTACCACTCGTTTCTGGCACCTCATTCATAAAATGGCACCTCTCCCACTCGACGGCCGCTGAGCACCGTGGCCGCACAGATAGCTGCCAAGTCAAAGACCATAAAGTCGCCTACAATTACGACATCACCCTCCCCGTCCGTCTCACTGTCGACAAGAATGGCATGCTGCAGGAGTGTTATGTCGAATTGGAGGTTGTGCAAGAATACGGCCGAGGCTCAGGAAGAGGCGAGCGCATCACGTTAGGAACTGTCAAGCTCAACCTGGCCGAGTACGTGGAGCAGAGCGAGATGGCGACCATCGCGGGCGAGGAACCAGGCGTCACGAGGAGGTACCTCATGCAAGACAGCAAGATCAACAGCACGCTCAAGGTCGGAATATACATGAAGCAGACGGAAGGCGACAAGAATTTTGTTGCGCCTGCCTTGAAGACGGCGCAGGTCTTCAGTGGCATCGCTGGTATCATGGCGGGAGAGCAGGCCGAGCTCGAGGACCACGGAGGTAGGACACTCTGAACTATCCACTGAGTTCGTGCTAACGCCCACAGCTGCGCCCTCCCTGACGAGCAAATCCCGCGAAGCCGGCGAGCTCCAAGACATGTACAGACGCACCCTCGCCGCATACTGGTCCGCACAACCCGGCGAGCTCAAAGCAGACGAATGCATCGAAGACATATTCGCTGGCGGAGACGGATGGGGCGACCGCGAGAAACCATACTCCCAGCAGCCACGAGCTCAGCCCTTGCGATTCGCAGGAGGCGATAGCAGCAGCTCTGTGAGTGAGAGCGAGCACGGTCACATGCGCGGCGGCAGCAGCGCTCATCGTAAGTCGCATGAGACGCTGCGCCCTGGAGATATGAAATCGAATCACTCGCCCAACGTGCGGGGCCGGGGAAGTTTGGAGCAGCAGGCATCGCAGATGAAGGCAGAGGCGGCGCGCAAGCGACATCGTCCACACCATGAGGTAGATGAGTTTGACCTGCGCGAAGATCTTTGCAGCTGGCGTCGTCCAACTTGAAGTTCAAAAGGTGCCACTGAAATGCAAATTCCTACACTTGATATCGAACTCTGAAGTAATGCTCGCGGGCGTCGCACTATGACGCGCCTCACACGTGAAAGCGCGATGGCAGAATTAGGGCGGTCACGAAAGTTGGAGCACGCATCGCACTTTCCGAGCCCGTCGCTGCCATCCTCATTGCACTTTTTCCCCGCTTCGTCCTCCTTCATGCTTGCGCCCCGGACCTCGAGTGCATTTGTATGCCTCCGATGTGAAGCGCAAATTGCCCGACGGCGACTGCCCGCTTTTCCTCGCCCACCATCCCGAGCCAGGTTTTCTGCGTCTGCACGCCGCCGCGGTGATGCTGAAGACGAGCAACAACCGCCTCTGAAGATCACAAAACAAGTGACGCCGATCAATCGCTTGAGGAAGAGGAAGGGAGAAAAGATCTTACGAGAAACTTCGCAAGATCTGGGCGTCAAGCGATTGGGCGACGATGCCGATATCTTGGTCCTGAGGGAAGTCGGGGAACCAGCACAAAGAGAAGCCACCACAACCACCGAAGCCTCCGAAGATGCCGAAGTAATCGAAATCTCCGAACCTCTCGAGGTCCCAGACATTCTTGCCTCCCTCGAAGAAGAAGGGAAAGCGCTCGCGCCCGAAGAAATATACAAGCAAATCGAGACCTTGCGACCGAACAACGATGGCGACCCCAATGAGCCGCATCACGTCAAGCAGACTACATTTGTCAAGCTGAGAAAGAAGCTCATGAAAGGCTTCACGCAACAGCAATTGATAATCTTCTACTCGGTCGCAAAGAATATACGGCAAGAGAAGGTCAATCAGGGAGTGATCGACAGCATCAAACGGAAGGACCAACTAGGAAACCAGAAGCAACCTGTGGAGCGATCAGAATGGCAGCCAGGTACTACGCCGATAACTCAACGCCTGCCTGGCGTTGATCGTATTGTCAAGATCATGGGCTACCGCAAGAACGTCAGCAAGCAGCTGCTTGTTGATCGCATAATGAGGGATGTTTGGAATCTCGTACTCTTGGAAGAAATTGAATCCCCCGGAGAGCTAGAGCTTTCTCTGCAACCGTGGCAGGTGGTGCTGCTTAAAGCTGGTGGTACGTACTATAGCATCCTTAATCGTGGATCTCGCTAACATGCCTGCAGACAAAGACACCCTTTTTGACAAGATTCGACGGACCCGACGAGTGAGGCTCGACATGTACAAACCGGATAACGCCCTCCGCATCACATCCGATAAGACGACAGCAGAGTACGCTGCCAATGATATCGAGGAAGCCTTCCAACACACTGAATTGAAGCGGATGAACCTGAACAACTATTTACGCCAGCTAGCAAATGGTCCTGTTGCGTTGGATTCAAAGTCCAATCTGGTAACTTTGTTTTATACACAGAAAGACTTTGATGTCGTCTCGGCTCTGACTCGCACGAGTATTGAGGCAGTCGGCAAGTCTATGGTATACACGATCTCTGTAAATCGTTCAAAACCGAGCTAATTCTTTTAGTTGGTAATCAGAGGCTTCGACGTGAGCTCCATAGAAGAGGCAAAAAGGACACTGGTCAGGTTTTTGCCTTTCAAGGATGCAGCTGAGCGTACCTTCGACACTCAGAAACTAGGAAGTGCCGAGAGTGCAGCGTTCTTGTCGCCGGTTCTTACCGAACACGATTCTTTCGAATACAAGTATCGCAAACGAGAGCTGGGACGTCTGTCAATGCCTATCATGCGGCTCACTGAGCCTGACACTGTCGAAGCTCAGGCTGCGAAACCCGCAAAAGCCCCCAAAACAACACTCCACGGTCTCGTGAACCGGACTCTAGGGACGATTCTGCGACCCGCTTCTGCTGTGCCATTGCCTAAACACGAGTTGAGCAATTGGATACCGAACCCAACATACGAGGTCTCCGCCGAATTTGGCCAGGCTCTATTCCCTCTCGAAGATGTGGACCCCAGCCGAGTAGTGGAAGCTGCTCTTTCTGATCCATCCAAGGCACCTTTTCTGTCAACATTCCCAGGACTGAATAGTGTCTTCACGTCGCCCAACTATTCTGTCGTTTCGCGCTTGCAAGCACCATCTTTGCACTACGAATTTAGACCTGACCTGGAGCACGAGCCAGGACAAATATTGCCCAAACTCAGGATCCAAATGCGTACTGGTCGCAGTGGTGCCAGAGCCACTTTCCGCAAACTCGCACTGAGCTTCGATCATCGTATCCACGATGTTTTGCTCCCAGACAAGGCCGTAGATGTACGATTTCAACGCCGAGCAAACCTCAGCTTCAACAACAGGGAATACAATGACGAGAATGTACAGGCATGGGTTGATGCCGTAACAGACAACATTGAGAGCGGTGGCCGCCTCACTGCGCCACCTCTCCGCATCCAGATCCCCAAGTGGACTATACCCGGATTCCCGAGTGAAGAAAAGGGCATGCGTACCGTCACGTATCACTTCTCTGGTATCCAGTTCCGGCAACCGGTGATTGGAGACCTATTCGGTGTAGCTGTTTCGTACAATACTGTACAGTCTGGCAAGCTCGGTGCCAAGGGCAGCGCGCTCACTGCGCATTACAGTGGCCATGGCGATACAGAGTTGCGCGACGAAAGTGCGATGAAAGCCTTCGTGGAGAGGTGTTTCAAGATGGCAGACTTGATCACTGATGCGAGTAAGCAGACACTTCCTCCGTCTCGATTAGTTCGCCCTCGTGATATGAACAGTGAACGGAAGGCGAAAAGAATGGCGCTGTCAGGCGATCGAGCTCAAGCTGTGGATGAACAGAGCGTTGAGCCGGCGAACGACCTTGTCGAGCGCGTTGGGGAGTATCCTGATGTGAAGGACGATGCCGAGGCGGAAGGGAACGCTGCAGCTGGTAAGGATGTGGCAGAAGAGCAACCTGTAGACGGAGAGATGGAGTCACGATCTGACGACTCTGTTGCCGAAAGCGAAGATAACGTTCGCACTTTGTAGTCACCAAATTCAACTCTTCCATCGTCACGAATCTGGCCATGTTCCTAACTTGTAAGCATTCAACCCGTGGAGTCTCATATCAAAAACATCACGGTAAAATATGCTGTTCGGGGAATAATGCTTTCGTAAGAATTGATTAGGCCAAAGTCTGGCGATTTCAAAAACCACGGATCAACGAGTAATGATGCGTCCATGTTTGTACTCGGAGTATCTACCGTGTATCTTGCATGAGTTGTAGCAGGCCTTCTGCGGCGTCGCTCTTAACACCGCCGACACTGCTAGCCAGACTGTAGTGTTGTTGCTTCATTCTTTGAAGCCTGTAGTGCGGATTCTCTTCCTGCACGTTGATGCGCTCTGCATCGTGCTCACCCATGCGTGTTCTTGAGTCAGAGTGCGGCGGGTAGTAATTCCTGGGTCGCACAGGCGACGAGAGTTGATCGGGGGCTACTGAGTGGGGCAGTTGAGGCCCGGGTGGTGACGACGTAAAAGCGTAGCCAGGCACCATGCGCGATGACGCGGGCATGTTGCCTTGAGGTACGGCGAACTGAACGGGTGCGGGACCGAGTTTGGAGATCGGATGGAAGGGATCTAGGTTGGCCTTCACGAAGACAGGCCCTTGATCGCGTCGTGGAGCAGATATGGTGATGTTGGGTACGCGAGGATCGCCTAGAGATTCGCGTGAGGTCGTCATGGCTGTTGATCTCGACGCGTTGAGCGCGTCCGACGAGTAAGAAGCGCGAGCTTCGTAGGGTCCAATGATATCCGCGTCGCGTTTGGTGACTTGATTCGTCTTGAGCTTATACAGTCCAAACTTGAGACGCGTGCGCAACTGTTCGGCACGCGATTTCCTCTTTCCTTCCACGGGTGCTGGTGCGGGGGCAGCCGCTGGCATAGCTACACGTTCTCCATGTTCGCTCTTCTGGCTGGCGCACAGCTCGTAGTTGAGAAGGTCGGAGAAGGACTGATTGCTCTTCTGGGAGGCTTGCATCGGCTCTGGTTCGGGTGAGGGTGTTGGTGTGGCGCGCTCGGTGGGAGATCCAGGATCTGCGAGGCCAATAGGGTTGTTCTCCTTCAATATGTCAGTGGTGTCAAGACGCGTCAGTATCGCGTGTAGCCTACAGTATGCTTCTGCACCGCATCGGTGGTTAGGCGCACACCGGCGGTAGGAAGACTCTCATTGCGGGCATGAGCAAGCATCTTCGCACTCTTCACGGCCTCGGCACCATCAACCTCTTCTATGCCCCTCTTCTTGCTGTTTGAGTTGGTCTGGGGAGTCATGAGGTTTTCCTTGCCGACAGGGTTGGTTGGGGTGTGCGTAGTAACCTGCTTCAGCGGGCTTTGGGCTCGACCGACTTCAGACGGTCCATGAGGGGTGGAGGGCGTATTTATGGCCTTTGGGGTAAGATCTCCAAGCACGCGTCGCGAGGGTGTCTTGGAGGGGGTGTTTTGAGTGGCCATGTTTGGCCTCTGCGGTGTTGTGGCGCTCATGTTGTCTTTGCGACTTGAGGGATATTGCGACGCGTTGAGACGGGATGAATGACGCGCGTAGATGCGCTGTTGTGACGTGGGACGGAAGCGTAGCCACAAAATAGTAATGAGTCTTTCTGTGTTGTGTTCAAGGTTGGGAAAGACAAATCAAGACAGAATTGGAGTGAGGGTGATGGTGTGGGAGCAGTCGCGTCGCGGTTGGGGAAGTCGCATCAATAGCGCTAGGCGACGCGATTGGGTGGCATGTCAGGGTCCAGCTTGGCGAGAAGGCGGGATGGCGCCTGAACTAGCACAACACAAAGTTGGCATGACTTGGATCAATTCTGTTCCTCTATCCTCTATCTACCATTGTTACGCATTCGCATTGAAATACGCGTCGAACGACACCTGTTGAAGCCCTCGAAGAACGCGTGGCATGAAAGACATCATCTCTGCACTTCCCCGTTGCTGTTGCAGAGTCACCTCGACAAGTAATCCACGACAAGGACACGTGGATGATGATTGATTGACATCTTCTTAGCCATGGTCCCGCCGCTTTGCAGTGAGTAGACCACCACGACTCTAGTACGGCGCGTCTCTAGCTAGAGAACCCACGCGTTCGTCAAAGTTCCGAGGCACTTGCACAGATAAGATAGCACGATAAGATGCAGCCACAGCTTCTGTGCACGAACCTACGTGCATGCCGGCCGCACTTGCCTACGGGTCTCCATTCCTTGCCTTACGTCATCAAAACAGAAGCAAATGCACGGCTACGCGGCTCCAATGCTCCACCATGATGGCTCAGCCACACCTACTCAACAGCACAGCCAACCCTTTATACACTCGACTTTTAAACCTCAAAGCCCCTACAACTTAACCTGTTCAAGTCCAGAGACTCACTTGTACCTTGACACTCGATCTGATCATCTATCAACGATCTGTTCGTTACCCAGCTAAGGCATCCACTCACTAGTGTACTAACCCCATCAGCCTACCCACGATGAAGGGCTTCCTTTCAAAAGCCAAGGCTGAACTCAAAAACTTCGCTCAACGCGACGAGCCTTGCAGCAACTCAAAATTTGATGGTACTGCTGAGGCACAACATCAACACCACTTTCCTCCAGCTCATCAGCAAGGGCAGCATCATGGAATCAGCGATCCGACAACCCTAGATATACTTCGCTACCGCTATCATCACGGCACTAACCTGGGCTCGGTCTACGTCATTGAACGATGGCTTCAAGGTTCTCGATTCCCTGACGGTTCTGAGGGATCAAGCGAGCTTGCAGCAGTCCAGGCCTGGGTCGACAAGATTGGCATGGCTGAAACGAAACAAAAGTTCGAAGAGCATTGGGCCAACATCGTAACCGATAACGCCATCGGATGGCTTGCTAATGTAGCCAAATGCACTACCGTCCGCCTGCCCATCGGTTACTACGATCTCCCCGGAGCTGTTTTCACTCAGGGCACACCTTTCGAGCCGTACGCAGAAATCTACACTGGAGCGTGGAACAGTATTCGCACGCTGATCCAACGCCTGCGTGCACGCTCTATTGGTGTCCTCATCGATCTACATGCATTGCCAGGAGGTGGAAACGCACAGGAACACTCCGGTACCAACAGTGGCCGTGCTGAACTTTGGACCAGCCATACCAACCGCGCGCTGGGTGTTCACTGCTGCCAATTCATTGCTGAGGACACAAAAGCTGGAGCTGAGATTGCCGGTCTCCAGCTCGTCAACGAGGCTGAGTGGGAATCAGAACGCATGTATGAGTGGTACGATGAATGCATAGCTGCTGTCTCTGCTATTGATCCCGGCATTCCTATCATCATCTCCGACGGTTGGCACCTGGAGAAGGCAGTCGACTGGACCTTGCAGAAGAACTCCATATACTCGCACCCGCAGTGCCCGGTGGTGATCGATACGCATTATTACTGGGCTTTCACAGACGAAGATAAAGCAAAGACACCACAACAAATCACCGAAGAGGCCGGCACCAAGCTTGGGCAGCTAGACGGTAAAGAAGGTTCTGTCCATGACCGTGGTGCAGTACAAGTTATTGTTGGAGAGTACTCCTGTGTTATGACCGAAGACTCTTGGGCTAAGGGCGGCGGAGTACCCAAGGAAGAGCTCGTGCAGCAGTTTGGTCAAGCGCAGAGTAGGCGGTACCAGCAGCGAGCTGGCGGCAGTTTCTTCTGGACCTGGAAAATGGATTGGATGCCTGGTGGTGAGTGGGGCTTCAAGGCTAAAACGGAAGACGGGAGCATTGTGCCACCCCAGTATACGACAATGTCCTCTGATGATAGGCGAGGAGTAGTCGAGAAAGCCAGGCACGAAAAAGAAGGGCGGATGCATGAAGCTGTCCAACAGCACGTGTCTTACTGGAGCGGCGTGGATCCCAATGGTCACTATGAGCACGAAAAGTACGAACATGGTTGGCAAGTCGGATATCAAGACGCTCTCGCCTTTTTTGGATGTGGAGAAACAAAAGGCGACAAGATTGGCATGTTCGAGTTGTGGGTCCTCAAGCGAATTAGAGAGAGTGGGTACAGAGGTGGCTTCACTTGGCTTTTCGAGCAAGGCCTGAGGAAAGGTGCGCAAGACTGTTTCTCTGCGCTCGGAATCTGAGGGTATGTGCACGGACGATATGGCTCTCGGTCACAACCGTTTGCTGTTGCTGCCTCAGTCACCAGGTACGTGCTCGGTGCGATGACGTTACGGCCAACAGTCGGACTCGCGACCTTCGTCCGTGGAACGTCTAGAATAACGACAGAGACAAACACTCAAGCAATGCATGTTGGGCGTACAGTATCACTTTCTCAATGAATTTACCACCTCCCTTCTTCCACCTCCGTAACTTGATCTCGCGCAATCCCTCAATTTCTAGACAACGCCAAACCCATGGATCACACCCATTCTTTATCTCTTGGAACACCTGGAGAGGGGCCCGGCGAGGCTCTGCTTTTACTACATGACACACTCCTCAGGCGGCCTTATCAGGCTTATTGCGTCACCGAAGCCTCTTCACGACCGTCGAGCCCGGACAACCTTATTCCAAAACCTCTTCGAACATCAACGACACCTGTATTGCAGGTTTTCATCGACAAAGAGTCTGTCGAGACTGAAGACTGCGATCAAAACAACAATCCCACCCAGAGTGCGGCAGGCAGTCCTGCGCAGTATGTCGAATCGGCAACATTACGCAGAACGGGACAGTATAGCAAAAGACAAACATCCCCTCCCAATCGAAAGCCGTTGCCAGAGCGTACAAGATCGGGAAATGCACCAAATCACATTACACGGGCTGTCACTCCACGCGGAAGCCACTCGTTAGCTTCATCTGAGGTGACGGTGTGCGACCTACCATCATCACATCCACGGATGCAACAATCGACTTCTTCCAACAACGAATCTGATCGGACCGGCTCACACAAGCCAATTGAGAAATGCGATGATCTTTTGGGTACGTGTCAGCGTGCGCTGCCACCACTACCGCTCGGGACGGCCTCAGTGCTAGGCAATCAACAAGACATTGACGCGCGGAGCGCAGACATTTACCGAAGTCTGGACGAGCCGGCTCGCCCAGAATACTTTCAAGGAGCAAATGAGCTCGACACCCCCGATACTCAGGCGGGAGCGCTGTCCAAGAGGAACCGCTACCTCATTCCACGTCGGCCGTTGCCGGATTTACCGATAGACACCAGCCCAGATCATTCGAGTCAAACAACTGCTGCGCAGAGCGCGTTTTTATCACACGTGACAGATGGACCCTCATATGACGCCGGGTTTGGTGAGTCGAGCATTAGTGCGCGAGAGCATCGTGTCTTGGGGAGCAATACACAAGAGCCTACGGCTACTGACCCATACGAACCTCGCGGCCACTGGGATGACATCGACGATGACGTGCGAGTATTGCGGCGAACTCAACCCAAAGACGCAAATCTAAAATACAAGTTTGGACAGCTACCATCTTTCAGTTCAGCTTCACCGCCATTGATTTCGCCGCTCCGCGGCGCTTCCTCTCATTCAGTCGGCAACCTCACAAACGCCGCGCCTTCTTTCCACTCGTCTACCGACATCCAAAATGGTCCCAGACCGCCTCCGTGGGGCTCATACGAAGATCTTGAGATGCAACGTCGACAACGCGGTGATGCGAGAGAGCGCGCAAAAGTTCGAGCAAACCGTTTGACGGCAGACAGCTCGTCAATGTACCAAAAGTCAATGTCGACGGACAGCCTGGGTAAAGACCCTTCAAGGGAGGTAGAAGAGTACAGGGAGCAGATACTCGGTGTGTACCCTGATATGGAGTTCAATGGGGAAGCCGGGAGAGGTGATCGGGCATGGTGCTGCTGCGTCATAATGTGACCGGCTTCCCATTGATGCTCAATCCAGTCACCATGGGCATATCGTACTCATTCGCAAAGTCTTGATGGACAGAGACGAGCAATTCACGCTTCAACGACATACCTATCTCCTGACATATAAACACAACGTACTAGGCCACTTTGTACTTTACAACAACAAAACTCAATTTCCGCACCCATCCCTCCGCACATCACCACCGTCGACTGAGTACACCACATCTTAAATCTAGACTATCCAACTTATTGACAACGTCCACCATGTCTAACGTAAAGGTCGATGAGAAAACAAAGTCACAACGCTCAAACACCGGCAGCAAAGCGCAACAGACTACATCTGAATCGGCTGCCAGACCTGCACCCAATAGCAACAGCAGGTCACAAGTCACCGTGACAGTTGGAGAGCTACCGAGCACCTCCACAAAGACTCCAACGAAGCCGCACAACCCATCCAACCGCGTAGCATATGGATTGAAGAAGACTCCGGTAAAAGCTCACATTGTTCGAGCTTTAGCAGAAGCAGAGGAGAAACGACAGCGGGAAAGGGAATTCGAGGAACACAACCGTAGGAAGAGGTTGGGACTCGCGCCATGGCAGAGATAGAAGTTAGTCTAATACTGTCAGAGTTTTGGTTTGACATGTGGTTTCAGCAGCTTAGTGGTTTATTGCTTTTTTGTTTATCCAGATAGCGAACGGGTGCTTTCTTTCTTTTTGTTTCTGAGGGACAGTAAACTATATTCTGGATATTCTTGCGCAGGCTTGCGTAGAATCAGCTTCATATACCATGCTTTTTGAGACAATGACACGTATGCTCATTACTATTGAATGTGTCACGAGAATTTACCAAAAGACATTATATCGGGCTACAGATGCTACTCACTGTCCTTGAGTGAGCTGATAATTAGGTATGAAATGTTCGGAATTCGATGAGACGGTACTATAAACTCAAAGACACTGCTCTGGCCGGCTAGGTGATCACTGTCATGTGCTTCTCTCGCGTGTGATTCACCATGTCTGATCAGATCACAGTCATTGTTGACGTCTTTTGCCATATCTGTGGGAAGATTACACGGACAGCCGATGAGTCCTAATGATTCAACGTTTTCGTAGTCACAAGCTTGGAGTCATCTAGGTCAATGCACCCATGGTACCTGTTGGACTGTGACTGATGCTATAATTGTACCGCATCAACGACAGGAGTCATGAATAATACTGTCATCGAAGGTGTGACTGTTCGCAGATATGAAAACCCCCCAGTGTCTACCTGGCTTTCCTTCACATACACGTACTCATACACCTTCATATACGCGCCTATCTTCACGATATCTTCACAACATACCTCGTTACTTCCTTGATCGATCGGACGAGCGGTGTCAAACAGCAGCAATAAATCGAGCTTAGCCCAAATTTTCAGCATTCGTCTTCAGCGGTCTATAATGACGGGCCCCACGATACAAGTAAACGGTCGACCTGAGGAAGCTGAGCCGCTGACACAGCCAGAGAAAGGGCAGTGTGAGAAACAAAAAACTGAAGAGGTTCCAGAGATGCAGAAGGTGAGAGGTCAAGGTTGCAGACGTGGAACAAAGCACGACTAACTGCCGAGATAGGAGCCGGAAATGTTCAGTAAAAACGACAGAGCAAAGACTTATGCCTATGGTGACTCTCTTGATGCCTCTAAAACAAAGTGGAAGGGCTCGAGTTCAGATGAGGCACGCAAATAGGACAAGGCTATAGAAACACGACGGAGGTCTGCTCACCCAGCAAGCTTCTGAACGGTTGTCATTCATTGAATCTATTATATCAGAGACAGTCAGCTTATCGGAACCTGTTTTGTACAGACTGTAGTGTCATGTGGTCAATGTGAACATGTCGTTTGCACCAGTAAACATGAACTACAATCAGTTACATTGCAATGAAGTCGAGTATATCAAAGTATCACAGTCTGCCGACTCTAACTCCGACGCCGCCGACTGAAACAAACACAAGACAGACTCATCACGCACACAGCACCATATAAAGCTGGCCACACCCCTACCCCGTCTACATAACTCGGCACTCAGTCACTGCACCACTAAATACCACTTACAAGACTCTTTAACACCCAAGCCTAGAGCTTGTGACCCAAAGCTAGCTATATTTATCTACAAGACCAGTACTCGACCTCCATCAAGATGCATCTCCCAACGAACAAACTCCAGCTCCGCCCTAAACTTACCAACGTTCTACAACACTCAAGCAAGACTTCCACCTCCAAGACCCCCGAAGCTCCAATTCCAAACAAAACGGACAACAGCGTCAACATCAAAGACAAGCGCAACATCAAGATCGGCATTGCCGCACTCCGTACCGTCAGCAAATGGACCGATAAAGCTGCACTGACGCTCGAGAAGCTCGAGGGCCAAGAAGCGTCGAAGCACTGCCAAGATCGCCAGGCGCGCTTGCTGGCAGAAGACGGCAGCAAAGGGTACGGAAAACAAGCTCAGGATTCTGGGGTTTGGAGAGAGACTGTAGTATATCCGGTACCTACCCAGATTGGTAGTGCTAGGGCAATGCACGCACACGAACCGTCAAGAGTGTACGGAGCAGTAGCAGCACCTTCCAGTCAAGGAGAGAGTCACATTACGGCCGGCGCTGTGGAGGCACCGCTTGTCCAGACTCATCATGCGCATGTCTTGGCTTCTGTCGAGGAGTACTACGACGAAAGCAGCGATGACGAAGACGAAGGCAATACCTCTAGGCAGATCGGTCTCAACAGCTCCACAAACGTTGACGCAGATGACGGTACCGATGAGGAAGATACTTCTGATGATTCTAGCGACGATGAGAAGGAGGATGACAGCGATGACGAGAAGGACAGCGACGAGGACAGCGATGCTGATTCAGATAGCGAGGCGCATGATAGCTCTGATGATGCTGAGGATTCGGACGAGGAGGAAGTGGAGGCAAAGCAGCCGATGATCAAGAATGCTAAGAAGTGAGGGGACGGAGTACAGGGGGTAGATGCGGATTAGATGTTTTGAATGGAAGAGGACGCGCTATTGGTCGATGCAGCCTTGAGGGCCATACGGACGGGTTTTGACGTATACTAAAGAATCGAGCGGGGAATTGCAGCAGTAGCTTGGACATGCCTATACATGAAGTTTCAACGCATAGCTGTAACGAGTCTGCGAAGATTGCGACTTTCTGATACTCTAGGGCTTCACTAACCTCGAGCACTGAAGTTGGAGACGCCAAACGGAGGGAAATATACTTGCTTAGATGTTTGAAATAGAGGCGAATGATTATGTTTGGCTATGTGGTCGAAACATTCCGAAGGGCCGAAGTGAACTGCACGTCAGGCAGCATTGGTTCGGCACATATGCCGTAAGGTTTACACAATGACGTACCTGTGTAACTGCAACAAAAAGCCATCGCGAAAAACTCCAAACAATTTTCGTTTGCGACATCTTTGATCATACCTTGGTACACCAACCAACAAGAGTTAGCGAAGTGGCAGTGAAGGCAAGCAGTACAGTAGCCCGACGACAGAAAGTGAGGGCAGGGCACCTGTAGGCTACCAACGGCACTTCGCAAACACCCCATAGCGCGTCACTCGTCCTCTCTCACCTCACTTGCACTCCTTGGGCGAGTTTTACGTTTGTGTTTTCATCCCACGTGCGCTCTAGCCCGAAAGTCGTTGATCGGCTTTGCCCTGCATTGTTCGTCCAGTTCGGTCCCACCCACATCCTCCTAGCAACGCCCGCATCCTCGCAGTCAACATCACGACTGTCAATTGCGAAAATGTCAACACATTTTCGCCCGCGCGCGACTACACCTGGTCCGCCGAGCCCTACACGTCCGTCAACGGCGCGCTCCACGATTCGCGCTATCTCGCCGTCGCCGCCACCGAGTTTGGATGAGGCTTCGCGACAGGATTCTGCGACTACTGGGTCACCGAATGTTGATCTACACAGTGCATCAGAGAGTGCGAAGGTACGGCCAAAGAGCGATGGCTACCCGCGAGAATACGTGCATGGTTCTGGTCATGAAGAGACGGATTTCGCCAACTACACCACAACAGCAGGGAACGGTAACTTTGGAAGCTCTCCCGCGAACATCACTGCCAATGTCACCATCAAGAGAGGCGGCGGAATGATGACAAGGCGGTCGCCGGTAAAGCGCGGTTCCAGATCAGCAAGTCCGAAGAAACGTCCGTACAGCACACCGACGGAGTTGTCTTCGCACCGCGAGTCGACATCGCGTGACCAAGACGACATGACAGCCACCAACCCGCGAGATGCAGAGATCCAAGCTGGCGACTACGTGGATAGCGACGCATACACCGACTGCCCGGATACACCCACCCCGATGACAAACTCTCAAAAACGCTCAGCCTATCTCCCGCTCGGAACTCCGACGCCCTTCCCAAAGTCCACGCGTTCTCCCAGGCCCAAATCCAAATCAAGCCTTCCTCGTGCCACTCCTACTACTACTCCCACAGCACCGACACCGAAGCTCGAGTTCTTCGAATCGTTCGACGAGCAACCATCCTATGGCTCTGGAATCTTCACCACGGACCATCCTCAGACGTATGTTGGACCGGAAGACAAGCTCATGGCGTTCTACACCCAGACTGAGCGTCGGAAGATGCGCGAACGAGCGCTCGCAAGAGCTGCGCAGTCAGAGAGGGCGGTGCCTGATCCTCGGACGGGCTACGCGACAACGTCAGATCGCCCAGCAAACGACGGCTTGGTCATGCAGCAGCCACTGCGGGAGGAGGATATTCGTGCGCGCATGCATCTCGCCCCTCCACAGCAGGCCATGGAATCACCGCCTCGGAAGCCCATATCAGAAGCGGCTGGCAACGTGGCACGACACGTCTCGCCGTCTGAGGGCTCATGTGTCTCCGGCGGGACTGTCACTAGCAAACGCTCTATTTTCAGCACGCCTGGCAGAGACGAGCTTGAGAGGAAAAAGGCGATCGTGGAGACTGACGATGGACCATTCGCTAAGGCAGTGAGCATGGCAGATCTGAATGAGAGACGTAGGGTGGTCAGTGACGAGGGAGCACAAGGTGTTCGAAGAAGTGAGGACTTGGAAGCAGAGGGCATGCAGAAGAAAAAGAAGGAGGGTAGGACTTGTGGAATGGGGATCGGGTGTAATGTCATGTAGAGATTGTCAAAAAGCTCGGGGATGTTTGTTTACACTTTGCATCGATGCGATGGAGGATGGTTCTGAACCGTAATATGAACGACAGCAATGAGTAACGATGAGGCTACTAGTTTGATGCTTAGCATAATATTGTAAAGTAACAATGAAACTGAAACTTCTCTGACGCGCGTGACAGAAGTATATCGCGAACAGACAGTGAATGCGACCACTAGCGAGCGGAACCGCAATACACTTTCGTTCGCTTCTTCGACGTCTAACTCTTCACTCGTACAACCCACTTTGAGAATCGCGACACATTAGCAGCAAAACATCACGCAATGGATGCCGCGCCCGATCGAGTACAAGCGCCGTACATGCTCGACAGCTTGACCGCCGACGCACAGCGAATATCAGCGAGCCTGCCACCGGACGGTTGGGATTCAAGCTCCTCCCTCATTGGCTTAAGGCGTGACGTCAGTGGAGTTTCGGTCGTGGTAAGAATAACCAGCCCTAGACGGGCAACTTGTATGTGTCATCCGCTAACCAAAGGCTCCGTGAAGCCGTCAATAGCTGCACCGGGCGATGTGAACGAGGCTGGAAATGCGCGCGGTGGACTTTTCGCATGGCTCCGGCGATTAATCCGCACCGCTTGTCGTCGCTTCCGTAAACGCCACAAGAATGCGAAAGGCTCCTAACGCAAGGGCCAGAGGTTGTTGAACAACCCAGCGATCAAAGTATAAGTTCGTATGTGTAGAATGCGTTTTCGAAAATCAAGCTAATAGCGCTTCTTAGATGAAGAATCGGCTGCGATGTCGAGTGCCTGTAGGATATCGGTGCCGAAGACGACGGTCATGTATGCGGGGAAGATGACCCAGAGACCACTGCGGAATCAGTAAGCTCTTATGTCCATTCTAATGCGAGGCGCAAAGGGATGCAGGAGTTCGACTTACTTCATGATAAGATAGAAGACCACAAGCGTTGCCCAGTCGTTGTGGCGCACGTTTGCGAAGCCAGAGAAATACTCATTAAAGTCTACGATTGTTAGCCTGCATATTGCTTGTGTTTCGCATGTGTACATACAGTAGAGTACTGTCTTGCTAACCGTCATGACTGCTGCAGCGAAGCCAATGACCAGCGCGCGGTTGCCAGTCTTGCCGCGTACCTTCCTGCCGCCAGAAAGGAATTTGCCCACGCCTTCGCTGAGCTGCAGGCCAGTACCCGCAGTCGTGGGTACACTGTGATTGTATATAATCATTGCGTATAGACCGTATAGAACAAGCTCTACAGCGTTCAGCATGGCTTGCGCGCCGCCAAACCCATCGTGGTTTTCCCATCCGGGCCATCCGTATACGTGATCGATCGAGGCGTAAATCTCATACGGCTTCCAGATGGGCCACTGAAGTGCGCCACCAGCCATGGTATGTGGGCGCAGAAGAACGTACAGGGTGTCCCATAGCACAAGCGGAATCGAGATGGCAAGCCAGACTATCGTAAGATTGGATGCTGTGTGGCACCACGACGGCTCATCGATTTCGGGTGGAGAGGGAGGGCTGATTTCGGCTTTGGCATTGGAGATTGCGCGCCTGGCGAGCGACTTTGGTGGCGGTGAGGTGTTGAGGTCTGGGGAGGTGGGCGCTGGGGACGCGGTCGAAGTTCGTGATCTTGGCGTCTTCTTGACGGGTGATGGTTCTGTGGCGGGGAAGTCGCCTTGCGGATGCGAGCGCGTAGACACCATGACGATAAGAAGAGATCAGGACGGCGTGAAGAACTGGGGTACAGCAGCCACTGCGAGGAGCGCAATGGAAGGGAGAATGTAACGTGTCGCAATGATGCAAAGGATGCTAGGGAACTAGTGGAGAACGGCTTCTGCTTTAGCCGGGCGGGGCTGTACCTGAGACGGAAGGAGCTTTCGTCCTTGATCCAATGATGCACCAAACCTCAACCTCGATTTTCTCATTGGCGGCGCATTATTCTATCTCCTCCTCTTACCACGCGCTCTCATTTCCTCACTGCTCACCTGCATGAAGGGCTGCAGAATACATACTGCATTAAGCCCACTCCGAGAAAGTCCATCCTACGCCACACCCGCTGACGCTACGATCGTTTGAATGTGCACATGGAACAGTCACGAAGATATTCGTTGTGACTAGAATCTGGTTCGTGGGATCAGGAAGCGATGCGTTAAAAAGCAAGACCCAGGAGTTGCGCTCAGCTCATGCAGCAAACAAAATGAAGCGATTGGTTTCCAGTGGAGATGCGCTGTTGCGGCACGGACAGCCGCGGCGAGTACAGCCGCCGTGACGTTGGACGCTGGCCAACGGCGTTGACTGCAGCAGGATCATCTCAACCTCCAGTGCATCTTTTGGAGTACAAGCCTTATCGCCAGCCAATCTAAAATTGTACTCGGGCCCCTTGACGTTCATGTCGTTTCTCCTCCGCGCGGGCGAGGTTCTCAAGGGCCGCATAGGCAGCTACACGATCACCAATCAAGTCTCACCGACACTTTGGTTTGCGAAGTGAGACCAGGATTTCGCTTTCTATGCCTTGGCCACTGACAGCTATCCAAGGGACCAAGGACAAAGAAAAGTGGTGATCAAAGGCGGACCTCCAACGGTGCGAGTAGAACGTGATACGCTCAAAATGTTCCAGCATTGCCCTCATATCAGACCATTGGTAGACGAAATGGATGGACCACCTGCCATGCCTCCGCTTATTGCCTTGCGGTATCTCGACAGCGATGTCCTAGCTGCGTCGATTGAAAGGAAGTTGAGCCGAGAAGAGCTGAAACATGTTACTCGGAAGCTGCTGCTAGCTCTGAATGCTCTGCACGAGAAAGGCTATGTGCACT